TTCTGGTGACAGTACTCAGCATGCATAGGTGTGCCTGGAGGTCCTTTCTCTAGTTTCAAGAGGAGAGGCAGGGATGGGAGGCCTGCCTGAGTCCACAAGAGGAAAGGAGAGGACACAACAGTACCTGAACGTACTCAGAGAGCAGGCCTGACTGAAAAGGGTGTTGTTCATCCGCCAAAGGAGTTAGAGGCTTTCATAACAGGTAGAGAGAGTCAGTCCTCGGGAGAAAAGGGTTATAATCAGAGCTGAGGAAAGCAACCAGAGTGCCAAGTGCAAAAGATAAGACAAGTATGAAAATGGTTGAACAAAGAGCAAGAACAGATTCCAGAGCATAGCAGCTGAGGTAAGAGCAGACCAGGGAGACATTCAGAACTCTAGCTGGGGCTCACATGCTGTGAGTGTGCCTCAGCTAAACTCCCACTTCCTTAGATGTTTACTGCTTCCTGAGTTAGGAAGGCATGGAGTTTAAAGAAGTTGATCAAGGGTCAAGTCAATTAGTATTAAATATCACATATGAAAATGTAAGCATATAAGATACAGGTGCTAGACTATGCACCTGTGCTTATCAACAAGTCACCAAAAAATGCTCTGGAGAAAATGAAATTGTTAAACATATACAAAGTAAAATAAAAATAAAACAAACAAAAACAATGCCACCAGGATGGGAAAGTAGTATAACCTGAAGCAGCATTTCTCAAGGTGTGGTCTATGGACTTATGATCCCCAAAAATGTGACAGTTCTAGATGCATGCATGGGGGCTGTCCTCCTCTTGGGAGATTCACAGTGTGCTAAAAGTCTCAAAAGTCCTGCAAGAAAAAGTCCTGGTTGACTGTGTTTAGCCCAATATTTTCCATATTTTATAGTTAACCAAGAACCCTTTTTTTTTTTCAAAATACACTTTATAAATGCATACTTAGTAAAAGCCAAACAAACACATTGCTTTGATCAAAATTTCTTAATTGTATAAAATCTTCTGAGTCTTAAGTTAAAATAATATCACTTGTCAAGAGAACTGTGTAGTCATTTTTAAAAGATAAAATTAGATTCACCTTACACCAGAATAAACTCACACCATGTACTATAACTCAAAGTACAGAGGCAATAAAAGAAAAGAGTAATATGTTTGATTACAGAGAACATTTTTTTAAACTTTTGCATGGCAAAAAAAAAAAAACAGTGTAAGCAAAGACACATGACAAGGGGAAGGGAAAAGACAAAAAACCTGATAGAAGAAGGGGCAAAGACATGAATACACACAAAAAATAGAGATATAAAATGCATATATGCATATATCTACATATTACATAATGGCCTTATGCACATGAAAAGACAGTCGACTCCATTCATAATGCTCATGTTGAGAACAAATGCAAATCAGAACTACTTTAAGATACCAGCTTTTATCTCTCAGATTGGAAAGCATTAAAAACTTGACAACATACTCTTATGACATGGCTGTAGAGAAACCAGCACTGACCCGCATGGCTGGTGGGAATGCAGATGGCACCGCCCTTGAGGAGGGAATTTGTCAGTATCTAAAACCAAGTGTCTATTTACCTTTTGTCCCAGAAATTCCACTTCTAGGAATTTACCTTAAAGATATATCTCCAAGTATACAAAAATCAGTAGCTCAAAGTTATTCACTGCAGCATTAATTGCAGTAATTGCAAAATATTGAAAACATGCTCAAACATGAGAGAGTGGGAAATACATGATAGCATAGCCACACATGGAGTACTACGCAGCCATGAAAAAGAATGAAATGCTCTCAAAAAAAAAAAAAAGGAATGAAATGCTCTCTGTGAACTGGGGGGGTGAATGATTTCCAGGTTATATTTTAAGTTGAAAGATGAAAGTGCAAGAGTCATTATAATATGCTACCTTTTGCATTAGACACGTATCTGCTTACTTTTTGTGAAAAGAAACATAGGAGATACCAGAATGAAATTGATTTCCTACAGAGGGGCTGGTAGGGACGGCATGGAAGTGATAAGGGGCTGGAAACAGACTGGGAGACATGAGGGAAATGTGACTCTTACCTGAATATGACTCTTTGTGTTTTTTGACTTTTGAACTGTTAACATTTTACATACTCAACAACAAAAATAATAAAAATCAATAGTTAATGGAGAAAAAAACAGAAGTGGATGACTCCAACTACATTTTAAACAAATAATACAACCACACTGAAGAGGAAGGAGAGGAACTAACCCGAGTAAATTTAGACCATACTATTTTACTGTTTTATACTCTTTTAACAAAGGAATAAAAAGAATCATGAACAGAACTCTAGAGAGTAGGTTTGGGGTTTTCTATTGGTTGTTTGGTTTGGTTTTGTTTGCTTAACAGTTCTGAAACTACTTTTGACACGTTCTATACTTCAGAAAATAAGTAAATTTATTGAGGATAATGGGAGCCAGGTTCCTTACTGTCAAAAGGAGTTACAAATATGGAAAGAGGAGAGATGAGAATGAATCTATGGTATTGTATTAGTATTGAAGAAATGAGCCCACAGTTTTAGACCAGGGATCATCAAACATTTTTCTGTAAAGGGCCAAATAACAAATACTTAATTCCGTCATTGTAGCACAAAAACAGCCATAGACAATACATAACGAGTGAAAATGACTTTATTCCATAAAATTTATTTACAGACACTGACATTTGAATTTTATATAATTATCATATGTCATGAAACATTATTATTTTAATTTTTTCACCCACCTTTAAAAATGTAAAAATCATTCTCGATTTGCAGGCTGTGCAAAAACAGGCGTTGAGCCAGACTTTGCCCACAGGCCATAGTTTGCCAATCCCATTTAGAGAAATGATGATAGCTAGATAGATGATAGATAGATAGATAGATAGATGATAGATAGCAAATGTGATAAAGTGTTTAAGGTGGGGAGTCTGGATGAAGGATATGTAGGAGTTCTTTGTACTCTTCTTGCAAAGAAGAAGCACTCTTTGTACTTTTCTTACAGAAAAGCTATAAATCTGAAATTATTTTAAACAACCAAAAAAATCACAAAAGGAAGAACTCTGCACTTTTCATAGCTACTACAGAGAAGGAAAAACATTAATCAATCAAGTCATTGGCCTAAGAAGTGAATATCTTACCTTTTATAACAGTCACACAACCCCCATGTCCATGGACCGTGAGTAGGAGCTCCTCCTGCCGGTGTTTAGAGTTTCTGATTTGTCACAGAGGATGTCATCATATGATAACATTATTATTTCTGTTGCTGGTGTTCCTCATTGCTCTCCAGCACTCTTGCTGAGTAATGAGGTCGCCAGGGCTGGTAATTTGTATGTGACCTTGTAATTTTCTATAATGTGGGGATTTGGGTCTACAGTAATGAAATGGACTAAATGAAAGGTGCTTATCAGAAAATGCCCCATTAGCTTGGAAGTCTGCGACAATTCCTTTCTGATGTCCTTAATGTGTTGTTATGAAATTCAATTATACAGCACGTTCACCTTGCTTATTTCACTAGCCATAGTGATAGCTAAGGTGAGGAGTAACTGAAAGTGTCTTAAAATATCACAAATAAGAATTAGGTAATTTTTACGTTGAGATACTTTTTTTTTTGCAGGAAGAGTGAACGACTTTCATGGAAAACTTCTGCTATAGAGACTTGTAACCATTCTTCCCTCCTTGACTGGTTTAATTCCAACAAAATCCAATTCCTGTGGTCTTGGTTTATCACTGTAGGGAAAGAGACACTATGATTTTCACCAATAATCAAGATGATGGTGGTCATAGCTGAAATCTATTGAATGCTACTCTGTACCCAGATCCATGCCAAATGTTTTTCACCCTTTGTGTGTGTGTGTGTGTGTGTGTGTGTGTGTGTGTGTGTGTGTGTCATTTAGTCCCAACAACAAAACTCTGAGGTACTGTCATTATCTCCTCTTTATTGAAGAGGCTTATGATGTAAGCAGTGTGGCCAAGCTTTTGCATGGGGAAACATGGCGCCAGGACTGACAGGGCAAACCAGTGCTCTTACTTCCTGCTGGGACTGGCTCCCACTGTACATAAAGACAGAAATACAGAAATTTAGAAAGAAGTTGTTTAGTCATGAGAACGTGCCCCTGTTGAGAATAATAAGGTAAACGAAACAGATGCTAATATCAATGCAAGAAAGAGAGTTCACGTTAGAAGAGCCTTCACTCTCCCTTCCTGCTCCCTTCCCCTGAAGAAGCTCACAAGTTGAGAGACAAGAAAGGCTTGAAGTAGCACACACAGTGACTCATGCCCTCTGGATGTCACCCTCTTGCATCACACCCATGCAGGCACCTCCTAGAGGGACTGGGAAGACCAGAAAAGAATGGAGGAGGAAGAGAGTAAAGAACTTGGAAAATGAGCTTGGCAAGTTGGAGGCAGAGAACAGGGAACGTAGGAGTAGTTTTGCCCCCGTTCTTAATAGGAGAACTGAAGGAATGGGTCACTCAGGGGCCCTGCTCCCCTCACTCTACCTTCTTTTGCCCTCCGATGCTCTCAAGATCTGAGTGAGTGCCTGCTGACCCTGCCATTGTGGCTGGTCCCTGACCACTCCAAGACCAGCTTCTGTTTTGGATCATACCTGTAATGTTGTCATGGAGGTGACATGCAACTTTGCTATGCTTCCTTACCCAAAGATCATAAGAAGCTTTGTCTCTGCTGCACTTCTTCTGAGTTACTGAAATAATTTTCTTATAGGAGAGGTGCTGTGTACACTTTAAGAGCCACAATAAGAAACTTTCAAGAGGAATAGTCATCTTTAATCTAGTTGATGTATTTGTGGAACAACTGGTTAGTTCAGTGATTGACATTATATTAATCCATTTATAGAACTGAATATTAACTTCTGCACATTCTGTCCTTCTGAAATATGAAGGAGGGGGAAAACATGTTTCTTTGTGGAAGCCCCAGGAAATGAAAAATGCAAGGGAAAGGTAAAATTTATATATGAAATTGCAGACCTGTTGTTTATTTACTTTCTTCTTGTCTTTTTAGGGACTGGTTAAATATGTTGAGCCCACCGATTGTTCCTCCCAGTCAACAGCCAACAGACCAGCATCTGGATTCTTCTGGAAGCTTGAGTGCTCAAGGTGGGACTATGGAAAATGTTATGCATAAAAAAATAAAAATCATTAACTACAAATAGAGAAAATCAGTCACTTTGAGATGCCACTGTTTTTATTAAATGCTAATCATTTAGGCTCACACCCCCAAAATGAGATACCCTGTGCCTCATTTTATAGGATGATAAGTCCTTTGGTATCAAACTGATCTTCATCTGGATTCCGGCTCTACCAATTCCTGCTGTGTGGCCTTTAGGACTTTTGGTTACCGCATTTGTAAAGTAAGACTGATAATAGATAGTGTCCACCTGAAAGTTTTTCATGAAGATTCAATAAGGTATACTGTGCACAAAGCACTTACTAGCTGTTCATATTATTATAAAGCAGACCTGATGCTCCTAGATCGCTGGATACATGTTTTCATTCATACAAGGATACTTGTCTTTAAAGATAAGGCTGGTACAGAGTTACAGCAAGTAGTGTTAGTGATGGAATGGGAAGGAAGCGGGAATGAAAATCTGCCTGCCTCCCTTTGTTGGCGAGAGTCATAGAAATGAACCATCAGGTTTTGGTTGTGAGCAGGGAGCGTGACTGTCAGGAGTGCATAGAGGAGGAAGGGAAAAGAAGCCTTTGGTAGAAACGGAGGGATTGGGATGGGAGGGCAGAGGAGAGTCTAAAGTGCATAACTGGAGTGACAAATAACCTCAGAGTGAGACTCCCTGAGACGGCTTTTTGAGTTGGGATTCTGAAGAGGGAAGCATGCTATCTGAAGGTAAAAAATAATAATAATATAGGAACTGAAGCCAATATAAATTGCTCCAACAAAGGTGCCAGGTTCCCCCCCACCACCTGCCCCAGAGAGAAAGTGGAGCATCCCATTTTTCTTCAGGTATGGAAAATTCAGAGTGAAAGCTCATACATCTGGGTTGTACATTTTTGCTGCCCAAGGGATGGAGATGTCTCCGTGATTTACTGTCTGAAATAGATTATGCCCCTCAAATTGGGAATCTTTTTAGAGGTGTACATTTATAATTACTTAGGACAGAAAAATAGAATCTTGGCTGTCAGGAGGAGACCTTGCTGTGAGAGAACAAATAATATGTTATGTTAAGTGTCTTAAATAAACCACAGGAATAGAGAGCGTGGTCCTTGAGCAAAGGCACCCAAGATATATATTAGTGAGAATTAGCTGAAAAAGGATGGCTTCAAGTCACCATTGCCAAGTGAGGTTTTGACAGCAGGAGCTCAGTTATGTTGAAGGTAAACAGAACTTCCATCGAGGGCAAATTAACAAATTAAATTCAGAAGATTGTAGAAATGTTCTGGCCGATATTAACCAGATCTGGCGCCCTTCCTGCCTGTCAGCCTCGGTTTCTATCAGCCGTCCCTTTCCCCTTTTCTGATCTGCTCGAGTGGTTTGTAGCTAATTAATATTATCAAAAATTAGTGTTTCCTATTTGGTGACTCTTTACATGTCATTGGCTTAGTTTTAGATAACATATCAATATGCCAAGGTAGTGTTCTTATAAATTGTTGGTCAAGGAAAAATGATGGGTTCAAGTATCCAGTTTATATCACCAGAAGCAAGAGGGAGACGTGGTTGCGGGTAGTCTGGGCCTCTTCCTGGGCTTCTGTCCCACGATACCAGGAATTTAGGGAGATATGCCGGACACCGTGCTAAGTTCTAACATTAGCTGTCACGGCAACACCACAAGGAAGGTACTGTTTGTGTGCGTGTGTAATTGTTGTTCTTTACAGCTGAGAAAACTGAGGTATGAAGTTCTTGAATGCCTTGCCCAGGGTCACACCACCAGTCCTCAGCAGAGCTGGGATGGGAATCCAAACAGCCCGGCCCCAGAGCCCAACCACTGTTGTTATACTTTTTTGATTTTGAACCAAGTACCTAAATTACTTACTCCAAAAATAATATATATAAAATCAGGAATTGAAATTTTATTTTTCTCTTGAGAGTTCCTGATCTACAGAAAAAAAAAAAACGAATTGAAACATCTCAAGGGCTAAGTACCTAAGCTCTTTAAGGGGGCGGGGGGGAAGAGCAGACCTGTCGTCCCGTTTCAGCACTGGACCTGCCTCCCCTGCCCATCCATGCTTGTCAGGAATGACAAGTGGCAGCATTTTCTCCATGGGAGTGAGGGGCTTGGGGGCAAAGTTGCTGTGCTGACCAAATCTGAGGGAGCGAGGACCTGAGAGACAGGATTCCTGGATTGCCGAGCTGCCAGGCCTGGGTATTTGCTTGTCACCTACCTTCTCAAAGGCCTTTCTAGACAAGCTTATCTAAGTAGGTCCATCTCCCTTCGCCTTGTACATTTTTTTCGTGCCCTTTTCACAGTTTGTCATTCGTGATTTGTTGTTTAATGTCTTCTTTCCTATGTAGCCTGTGAGTTTTTAAAAGCAGAAACTTTATCAGTGTGCTCACTCCTGGATCCCAAGTAGCCCATGCAATTTCTAAAGATTATTAGCTACTCTCTAAATTTTTGTTAGAGGGAAGACAGGAAGGGAGAAAGGGGAAAAAGGGGGAGAGAAATGTTCTTCTAAAGGCCATTTTTTTATACCATCTTTGAAAAAAAATGAGTAATTCATTGAAGTCTTACTTTCAGTTTTCCCCCGTTCCAGTATTTTAGTATATTAGGTATATTTCTAAAATTTGACAATGAGAGTATTGAACCTAGACCCTCGCATTTTAGCAACTAAAACAGTGATCAGTCACCTTGGGCAGTGGCTCTTAAACTGTGTTTATAAGCAGTGAAAACTTTTCTTTCAAATGAATTTCATATGAAATTCCAACATATAAAAGAGATAAAAGCAGAACTGCTCTGGCTAAAGGGGAAGTTAGGGTCTCAGAACCCTGCCTTGGGGCTCTGATGAACCAGCTGAGAACAGTGATGCAGTCCAACACCCTCAACTTGACCTTGCTTAACGTAAAATGCCCAATCAGAGCCCCAGCTGGCAGTAGGACCCAGGCTTCCTCCCTATCAGTGCCTTTCTGCAGAACCTGTGAAGGTGGTTTTGAAGGCTGGTTCACAGGGAAGGAGGGCCTCCCATCTTTAGACTTCTAGGATAAAAATGATCATAGCTAATATTTATTTCACCTTTCTGTGACCCACACCTGCAAGTACCCTTTACTTCTCATGATAGCCTCCTGAGGTATAGACACTGCTGTTCCCCACCTTTCCCACATGGACACCACCTTTCCCACATTAGAGCCGGGAAGTAACGTGCTGAACCCCCACAGCTCCAGCTGAGGTGGAGAGGCCGAGATGCATCTGCAGAGTTAGAGGCATAACTGCAGTTGCACAGCAGGGAAAGATGGCCTGACCAATGCCTAGTTCTAGAAAACTTGCCCCAGGCCATACGAAAGTAAGTGCATGTGTTAACCTCTACAACAAAAGAGTGGGTTATTTTATCAGCAAAATGATTTTATTGAGGAATAGCAGAGGAATGGCAATTTGGGACATGCAAGCTGCAGCAAAGCATAGGCAAGCCTGGAGAACAAAGGAGAGGAGAGTTACTTTGTAGAGAAAAAGGAGGGCGTTGGGAAAAGCTGCTTTGAAGGAAAGTCTATTAGAGTGTAAAAGTCTAAAAAGTAAGAGTTCCAGGTGGCAATGTTTCTCATTGGCTAGGCTATTGCTTGTCAGGGAGAAAATCTTCCTTCCTTCTGCGGGAGCAGTAAAGTGAACTTCTTCCTGCCCAGGAGCATGGCGTTGGCTGCCACAGAAAGCTTGAAGTCCCTTCGGGGTTTCCCAACTCCATTTCAAATGAGGGTCTCCCTCTATTCATTTTCACACATGCCTTAGACTTGGCCTTTGAGTCTCTGCCTTATTCAGTACGAGTTTGTGCCACAGCCACAGTTTCTGCTCAGACAGAATGCCACAAGGGCATAAATGCCCCCTTAAAGTAAACAGCCTGTCTTCCTGCAGAGCCGGGCAGCCGGCAGGAACAGCACTGCGCTCTGGGCCCCTTGGCTAGAGGGAGAGACGGGCAGCTGTGTGCAGTTCCTCCCGGGCCACAGCGCACTCGCTGAATGTCAGTTACCAGGGGCATGGGAGCCCTTAACACTTAGCAAAAATGTGTTTTCCTGTAGTGCATGTGAAATGGGAAAATGGGAAGTTATGATTTCAGAACTTACTCAAGAGAACTACCAAGCTGACCTTTGAAAATAAAGCAGACTTTGCTTGAAGAATAGTTGTCAATTTGTTTTTGACATTTGTTCCTTTATAGATATGACCCTTCAATTATTCATGCTTCCCAGCTCCAAAATGGAGCTCTCAGGACTGCAAAACCTCTCCTGAAGTTTACATAGATTTTGAGTAAGAAAGACATTCAGAAGTGCTTTTAGAGTTGCCAGAACCTCATAAAAATAACATTCTTGTACCTTTTTTATGGCAAAGCCACAGAGGATATTCCTTTATGAACACTGGTTAATCTCCCACGAGACACAAATAGGCAACAGATGCTGATTTTAAAGATGTAATATCCAAATTACTAGTCAAGAATTTAGAAGAACCTCATGGTTCCTTGAAGCTAGCCAGAGAAAGGGGAATCTGGCCGTCTGCTCGGGGTCCAACAGAGGAGTCCTTCCAGAGTTATTCGACATTCACCTGATACTCTGAGTCTAAAAGCAATCTTCTAAAATCTGTTTTATTAGTTAGCTTACAGACATTATGCTTCACTGAAAAACCATGGTATCCCCAAGTGCTTGACTTGGCACCTAGGACACAGTACACGCTTCATAAATGTTTAATGAGTGATTGCATGAATCATCTGCTCATGGAAAACAGAAGGATGATTTGGTCTACTCTTTGGATCTTCTTTGGATCTTCAAGATTTATTTAAGGTGCCAAGAGACCTTCTCCCAGAAAGAAACAATACCGGCAATGTAAAAGTAATAATAGAAGCTAGCATCGGCCATGTGCCCGCCACAATGTCAAATTTTGCTGTGTGACCTCACGATGACTTCTCCTGATACTCCCAGGTGCGAGGCTGTGTTATGGTCCCCCCCACACACA